GATTGGTTCCACTTCATAAAAATAATGTACACACCCCAACATATAATTGTGCATGGGCTTTATAGGGTCCCCAACTCCCAGAATTCCATCCAGGACTCCAGATTGGACCCCTGCCCTAATTGGCTCCAAACCTACCCTAGTTCCCTATCTAGGGCCCATTCTCCTGAGTCAGAGATGACTCGCTAATTGTAAGTCACTTCCTATTTTAGAAATCCTGATGACTTATGGTCAAATGCTTATGTCCATCATGATGACTGAAGGGTTGTAATTTTTAATGCTGGGTGAGAGCTGGAAGGAAGAATAGAGAAAAAGAGGTCAACTTGGGGCTTTGTGATTCATCAGGGTATGCATTCACACAGCTCATACAGGATGGGATGCAAGGGCCCACACAGTGCCACCTGCAAATAATGCCTGCCTAATTGAACCAGAATCTAATACAACGTGTAGAAAAACAAGTAGAATGACACCATAAGAAAGCAATCAGCCAAATCCAGAATGTGGGCTATTCTACAGAGCAAATGACCTAGTTGCCCTAAGAAATCAATAGCATGAAAAATTAAAAGGAAATGTTATAGGATAAAAGAGCCTTAGGAAATGGTAGCAATCAAATGAAATAGGATGTTTTGTGGAGTGGACAATCTGAGATTAGGATACACATTTGGTATTGAATGATATTGAAAATAATTTAGCTGCCCGGCTGGGCATGGCTCAGCGGTTGAGCATCAGCCTAGGATCCAGGCGATCAGGGTTCGATTCCCCGGCAGGGCACATGCCCTGGTTGCGGGCTCGATCCCCAGTTGGGGTGTGCAGGAGGCAGCCAATCAATGACTCTCTCATCATTGATGTTTCTCTCTCTCTCCCTATCCTTTCCTCTCTCTGAAGTCAATAAAGATATATTTTAAAAAAAAAGAAAAGAATTTAGCTAGGTATAATAATGGTGGTTTTGTAAACAGAACATATTCTTCAATTAGAGATGCACACAGGTATGTTTGTGGGTGTGAGAACACAATATCTGGGATTTGCTTTGAAATAATCCAGAAAAAAAAGAGAGGTGGTGAGAAATGAAACAAGTTTGGCAAAATGTTTATAGTTGTTGAAACTGAATGATGGATATATGAGGGTTCATTATACTCTACTTTCTTTTATATTAAAATATTTCAGGGAACAACAAGATGGCGGCGCAGGTGACAGCTGCACCCGCTGCCTCCTGCAACCACATCAAAATTACAACTAAAACACAGAACCACCATCACTCAGAGCCTCCTGAAATCCCGCTGAACAGAAGCCCCGCAACCAGGGAACTGAAGCAGCACCAAGACCAGTAGGAGGGGCGCAGACTCCGGTGGATCGGGGCTGAATCACAAAGAGGTGCTGTGGGCTCACACCCGGTGCTGCGGGTTAAACCCGGGAGGGAATCTCTGCAGCGGAGGTTTCCCGGAGGAGGGAGGAGGGAGGGGTCCCAGCCCACAGCAGGCCCCCAGCCCAGGGCTCCAGGCTGGGAAGAGACGTCCCCACAACTCCGGGCTGTGAAACCGGCGGGGACTGTCCCTGAGGGTCGCGGAGGCTGCGGGAGCCCCAGCAGCTCCTCCTAAAGGGCCCGGCACGGACTCACTCGGAC